CAGAAAAATTAGTTCTACAACTTTTATTAGAAACAAAAAGAAAGGTTTACAAATAATAAAATACTTTTATATGTAATATGGCAAGATTCCTGTACTATAAAAACGTATGAATTTCCGATTTTATTTATTATAAGATTTGAAGCGAACTACCCATTAAATGAGTTGGGCTTATAGAGAGTTTGTGTTGATATTTCATATGTGCTATGTAAGTTGTTTTAAAATTTTGTGATTATAAGCAATTTGACTATAGAGAGGGTGATCTGACTGTATTTAATTACTGTAATTCAGTAATTTACAACCCCGTTGAAATTGTAAGTGCTAACTTCTGGCATGACAAAATAATTCGCAGGGATGTAACTTCGAATTTTGGTCTGTAATTATAGGTATATGCATGTATAGAATTTAGCGATCACTTTATACTGTACATATATATTTAATAAAAAATGAAAACAAAGTTTAAGAAATAACAAATAAAAACAGTGATATTAATTTAATAATTATTGAAATTACCGAATTTTGTATTATAGTTATGATGGCTCTTGTAGATAAATTGCAAGTATTCTCTAGTATTTGACATCCTTTTATTAGTCTCGAGAGAAAACAGGTGAATATCATTAATAGATCTTGATTTTCATAAAATAGGGTGCATTGCATGTTTGTAATTATTAAAGCCTAACCCATCATTTAACGACGGGTCTAACATTTAGTAAATATTAAAATTCTAGATTCGAATATACCTATGAATTTTATAAATAATTATTATAAACAAGAAAAATATAAACATGCCGCTTTTAATTTTGTTACATAAGCTCATTTTCAACAAAGACAGTTGACGAAATTACACTTTATTATGATAATTCTTAATAAACTTTTACACGTTTAATTCATCTCTTTATATAAATAGTTATCTTTAGGATATATCACTTTAATTGATACAAATTTCTCAAAAACACAGAATTTAGTGAATAAATGAAAGATCAAAATAATAAATGAATTGAATGCAAAATTAAAACAATAAATAATACAAAAGTGGATATTTAACTTTCAATAAATATTCACAGATAATCGAAATATATACAGTCCTTAACCTTTGATTTCAGAATTAACGTATTTCCGAATAAGTGAGAATTTAAAAAAAGATCTTGTGTTTAACGTCAGAAAATGAAATAAAAGGATCGAAATAAAAGTTATATATCACATAAATCCGTAAATTTTCAGTTGATGATTGTCATAAAATAGAATTTATATATCGCTTACTTCGAAATAAAATACTTCACTTATTTATGCAAAACTAGACGCCAAATCATTAATTCTGAAACCCCCTACTATTTTTTTTTGATTTGGAATACTTCATATTCCTCCACTGAAAATGATGATGCTTTTGATATTCCTTGTACTTGTTTTAATGGTATTTGATAAGACTTTTTTTTACATACACATGAATAACCCTTATTGAAATCACCATACATGCCAAGATCCTTACTGAAATTTGGACCACCAGATTTGTGACATAAAATTGCAGTTTTCGGATCGTCTACACGGCTTAAAATAGAGCTTTGAATATCATCTTTTAATGAAAAAATAAAGCTTTTATCGCATTTCACAGAACTTCCTCTTCTAGTCGGGTTTGTCCAACCAACTGGATTATATCCACCAAGGATTTCATCAGTATTTTTAACCTTCATGACTGCAATAACATTATTTTGTCCATCACATAGATCCCAAAATGGTTTAGTTGTAAAACCATCTCTAGTCCCACGAAGAAGTAACTTAAACTTGTATGGATTGTTTGCTGCAGAATAAAAGTCAACCTTATCATCCACCCATGAAACAATTACAGCTGCCTGTGTTTCATTAATAATGGCTGAAAAAGGTTCAGTTGTTTGTGTTAAAGTTATCTGAGGAGGCACCCTGGGTGGTGTTTGTGCTAAAGTTATGTGAGGAGTCACCCTGGGTGGTATTTGTGCTAAAGTTATGTGAGGAGTCACCCTGGGTGGTGTTTGTGCTAAAGTTATGTTAGGAGTCACCCAGGGTGGTGTTTGTGCTAAAGTTATGTGAGGAGTCACCCAGGGTGGTGTTTGTGCAAAAGTTATGTTAGGAGTCACCCAGGGTGGTGTTTGTGCTAAAGTTATGTGAGGAGTCACCCTGGGTGGTAATGATTGTGTTAAAACCTGACGGGGTGGAAGAATTACCGATTTTATTGGTCGATTTGGTGACATAAACTTTACTGATATATCATCCCAAAGATCTTTTTCCAGAATTTGTTGATATGGTCGTACACTGTCAATAATCTCGTCGGCTGACA